TTATTACAAAGCAAAAGATAAACTTGATAAAGCAAACTTGGTTGCTAGATGTTACAGAGCAACCGAGGAAACCGAATTAAAACAGAGAAAAAAAACTCTGGTACAATACTTAGATAGTAAATGGGAGGGGAGGCATAGAATCACACAGAGAAGTTCAAACCAAACCGCAAAATAAAGAAAAATTACCCTGAATGCGACTGGATTCACATTTCCCTGTTATTTGCTTCTTATTTTCTCTTTGTTCAGTTCACTCCCATGTCCTGGATTCTGTGGAGGGGCATGGTAGTCCTGCCTGGATTTAAATGATTTTGTCTCTCTCAACTCCTGGTTTAACTCTGTCACACAAGGAAAGCAGGCAGGGAACCAATATCCAATTCAAAATTTCAACCCTCTATCTCGATTGGTTCTCTCTGCCCTCTGGGCAACATCTTTGCTAGGTGCCTGAGTTAACCCCTGAGTCACAAGTTGCTGATCAGCACTCCTCCTGCTCATGGCAGCTTCTTTGCTAATTTCTGGTGTGCGGCCAGTCGGCCCAAAGTCCATATCCCTCCTCCCCCCTCCCAACTGCAAGGCTGAAATATTAAATAGGAGGATGACAAATCATACCACGTTTTGATGCATTGTCAATGGCACTGAACTCCACGAACATTTGGGGGAGCCACGAACATTTTCATATGCATGTGGCAACTCTCACAGTAGTCACATAGGCTATGTCTAGACTGCAAGCCTCTTTCGAAAGAGAGCGTCTAGACTGCACGGAGAAATTTCGAAAAAGCGGCTTGCTTTTTCGAAAGAAAGCATCCAGTGAGTCTGGATGCTCTCTTTTGAAGAAGCCCTATTTACATTGAAGAACGCCTTCTTTCGAAAGAGGAACTTTCGAAAGAAGGCGTTCTTCCTCGTAAATTGAGGTTTACCGCCATCGAAAGAAAAGCCGCGTTCTTTCGAATTAATTTCGAAAGAAAGCGGCTTGAGTCTGGACGCAGGGGAAGTTTTTTCGAAAAAAGGCTACTTTTTTCGAAAAAACCCCTGAGTCTGGACACAGCCATACAAACAGTGGCATGATTAGCAGGTCCTTAGAGGCTGAGACACAATTGTGTTCAGTGTGGCATGTACCCATGGTGAGAGACATCTCCTTCCTGACAAAGCTCACCCAATCAAAGCAGACAAAGGGTGGGAGGAGAAGTGATTGAGGGTCACTCTGATCCAGACTGTCAGTTCAGGTACCTTTGCCACAGAATTATTTCTACCATTTTACAGATGGGGAAATTGAGGCATGAAGTGATTACTAGACTTGCCCAAGGGCATACAGGGAATCTGTGGCAGAGGCCAGAATTGAACCCAAACTTTCCTTATCCTGACTGCTAACTACAAGTCCATCCTCCTTGATCCTGCTAGTGGTACTCAGTGTTTTTATTGGTGAAGCAGATTTTTCTTTCTTTGGTTTTTTTTTCTGCCTCCCCTCTCTTTTAAAGCCGGGGCTGCCCCATTGGAGTGGAATCTCTCTTTTCCAGGCAGCATCGGCACAGATGGCTTTTTCACAGTTGCAGGACTGTCGCCAGACAGTTCTGCTCTCTCTGGAGGGTAAGGCTGATGCATGCCCTACGTGTCTGGACTAGACACTGGCAAGTCACAGGCGCTCCATCAAATCAAGCTATGGCTGCTTAATGTGCCATCCCGTCTGCTACCCTTCCCGCCACAAGGTCACCTCTCGCCAGGTTCTGCCTGCTTCCACCTTGCTGAAGTGTGGGCCGGTGGTTAGCCTGAGAGCTCAGATCTATGTACAATGCCTTGCTTCCCGACAGACTTCCCTGATGAGGTTGGGCAAGTCATTTTGGTCCCTCGCCTCAGTTTCCCTATCTGTACAATGCGGATGACACTGTGCTCCCTTTCAAGGACAGACCTCAATCCAAGGTACTTACATGGCTGTCACTCACTCAGCAGTGCAGCACTGTCGCTCTGGGGCACAACACAACAGCTCTTTGCGGTACGGCTACACTGCAACGCTATTTCGGGATACCGGATGCGGTTATTCAGGAGGGCTCAGGATTTACTGGCTCCGTCGAAGAGGATAACCAGAAGGCTGCTTGTGTGTGTGCTCAGTGACGTGGGCCGTGTCGACTTGTGCATTTCGTCTCCACAGCAGACCCCAAGAGAGCCCCCAAAGATCACAAACCAGATAAGGCTCGAAGGTGCCCGGCCAGGCTTATTGTTAAGTGAAGTACAGTCATAGTTGTCAGTAGACTCTGCCGAACCACTACGCAGATGTACCCTGTAACAATGGAATGACTCAATCCGTGGGAAATTTCCTCCTACGTCGGACAAAGACTGTCCCCCCCAAAACACCACTTTATATACAGGAACAAACCAATCACACCTCACTGCTGACATATCACGTTGCCACCCTCTGATGCTTGTTAGATGCCACCTATCGCCCTGTTCCTCGTGGTTTGATTAGATTGTCTCTATCCATCATGCTGTTATTTTAGACCAGGGATGGGCAAAGGGGCCTCCACGGGCCAGATCTGGCCCGCCAAGCAGGTGGATCCGTCGGCCCATGGAGGTCCTGCTGCTCCCCCACCCCAGGTCCTAATTGGCCTGGGGGCGGGGAAGCGGACGAAACCTCCTCCTGCTCTGCCAGGAGCATGTGGCACTTTGAAGCACTGCACACGGCTCTTAGGGCAGGGGAGAGAGCGGAGGAGGCTTTGCACACTCCCCCGCCCTCGGGCCAATCAGGACCTGGGGGCAGGGGGAGCTGCGTGAAGCTTCCTTCGCGCTGCCTCGGCCCTGCAAGGAGCCCGTGGCACTTCAAAGCACCACAGGCTCCTTGTAGGGCGGGAGGACGCTTCACATGCTTCCCCGCTCCCAGGCCCTGATTGGCCTGGGGGTAGGGGAGCATGCCAAGCCTCTTCCAGGACGTGGGTGCCTAGTGGGAAGGGAGGTCAAAGAAGCTGCCCCACCCCCAGACCAATCATGGTCTGCGGGTGAGGTAGCCCCGCCCCTTCCTGTTTAGGTCCCTCCCCTTCCACAGTGGCCCCCAGGCAAAAATTATTGCCCACCCCTGTTTTAGACCCTTTCCCGAACCTGGGTCTGTATCTGCGGAGAGTGGGTACCACGGCCTCTTGTAATGAGCTGGTGTTACCATGTGCTTTCCGATGTACCAATTACTGTTCTGCCGTCAGTACCTAGCACCAATTACTGGTCTACACTTGGATCTTGTACCAACCAGTGTTTTGCACTCTCAGCCTTGTTCATGCCAAGTTCTGTGATCAGGGGCCCACCTCTTGCTCACAGCTTAGCTTAGCTTTATGTTAGCCATGCTTGGTCTGTTGTTAGCTAGGCCTCAGAGCCTGCCTTCCTCTTACTCCACCAAAGAATCCCGAAATAGCGACCCTGCGTCTTCACAGCAAGCCCGTTATTTCGGGCTCGCTATTCCGACATCACCATAAACCTCATTCTACGAGGAGTAAGGGACATTTTGGAATAGCGCTTTATTTCAAAATTTAAGACAGCACCAAATGACAAAATAAGCCATTTCGAAATAGCATCGAAACACGCAACGCAATTTGCATCGCTCCAACTGCGTATCTTATTTCACGTTACGGTGCAGTGTAGACACACCCTGACCGAGCACAGCACCACCGCACAGAGATCCTTCACCTAGCATCAAAATGCCACCACTTCTGGGGTGGAACCTGGCAGCTGTTTCACTGGATCCTGCCAGCACCGATAACTACTATTAGACCTTTGTATACTCAATTCTTCGAATGATCAATGATCGATTCCTTTCAGGAGTGGCTGCTTTTTGTAAATTCACTGGTGCAATTGTGCAAGGGGCCCTTCTCCTTGCCAAAGGCCATGTGAGAGAGATCTGGTTGTAGAACATCTGCAGAAGGTAACACTCTTCCAGTTACTTTTATCCTCTTCTAAAGTGATACCAAACTGGTCACAAACTAAGCACAACTTTACGCCTTTTGTGACTTCCATGAAGTCCAATTGCCTCCAAAAGTGCGTGTTCCAGTGATCAGGACAGCTCGGTTCTATTCCTGGTTCTGCTGCTCACCTTCATGTGTCAGTATAGTCCCTAGCAAACCGGGGCTTAATCTCAGTTTGGACCTGTCAGTGTGATCAGAATCCCTTTGCATAACCAACGGCAGAATTTGTCTCTACCACTGCTGACATGCAGCTAGCTCTGGGGTAGAAGCTGCAGCCAGCTGGCACAGAGCACTGACATTGTGGGTTAGAAGAGATTCCCAGGAAGGCCAAACTCCCCTCTTAGGAGAAACGCCCCAAGATACTTCACGTCCTTGTAGAACAGACAGGAGCCTGATCTTTAAAATGCTCATCGGGGCATGTCCAGCAAAACCATTCACCAGAGATGGAGCAATCACTCTGCTTTGTCAGGATTTGAACCTGTGTCTGCTGGGTGCTTGGAAGATTGAGTCTTTGCTCCTCAGCACAAGCAAATCTCACTGAACCCCTAGAGGGGGGAGGGAGGGAACATTTTTTGGGCCAGGGCTGCTGACCCACAGAAAAATCCATCGGGGGCTAAACATAAGTGAGAAGCAAAAAACCCAAACACACAAAAACAAACCCAAACCCTCACTGATGTGACCCCCAATGGAAAAGAAGAGAGACACTCCCCACCTTCCCCTCACACACCAGAGCCTGGGGGGCCCAGCTTAGTAGATTTTGTGGGCTCCAGCCCTGCAGAGGGGCAGCACACGCTCCCCAATGCTGGGGAGAGCCCTGAGTGTCTGGGGCTGAATCCAGGCAAGCTGGGGGCTGCATCAGGTCCCTGGGCTTTAGATGCCTCACCCCTGCCTATGAATTCTAATGGAGCAATTCCTGATTTACTCCCCACAGTCAGTTCACCATTTGAGCAGCTAAGCTGACAATGTGGCATAAATCTTCATCCAGGATTTCCAAGCATGAATGGACCCTTTTGTGATCTGATTAGGTCCTTCTCCTCTTCTTCCTCTTTTCCCAGATGGGTAAACTGAGTCACGGAGGGTTCCACTCAAGGCCTGGAAGGAAGCAGGTTCACACGAGGGAAAAGCTACTTAAACTTTTATGCACAGAAGGCCTCAAGGCAGCCTCCTAGAAGGTACAGGCATTTGGGAACAGTCAGGCTGAGCCGGCAGCTGTGACTCCCAGCTCGTGTGGACACCGATGTGTCCGCAGCAGGATGGGGAACTGCTCAGACCAGCTGCCTCAAATACAACCCTGGCTGGCTCAACAGGCGGCTGGCACGAACCACCAGAGACCTATAGGCAGGGATGTTTATCGGAGCTGGGAATTTCACTTTCCAGTGCAAATGCAGATGTGCTCTTAGATTGGCAGCTCTCATTTTTTGGGTCCCATACAAATTTGTAACACGGGACCTCTCCCCCACACATACCACAAGCTGCAGCCTGGGCCAGAACCCCCACAGCTCAGTAAAGTGCACCCTCCCCCAATGTGGGGTGTTGGGAAGGGACTGTCTTTCTGTCCTGTGTTTGTACAGCACCTTGCACGCCGGGTGCCTATCCCAGGCAACCCAGTAACCCACACTCCAAAGAACAAGGTGAACAGGATTTTGTTCCCCACCCTGCGCCGCAGATGCCAGGTGCCTATCGGAGCTGCCGTCTGCTATTAAAGAAGCGGCGTTAAGCGAGGGGGAGGGGGAACCCCATCCGGTCCGTGCTTGTCACTAACTTTGCTGTCCCTCACTGCAGCCAAAGGCTACGCCGCCTGATTGCGTCCCAGGATATTGGAGAGACAAGGCGAGTGAGGTCAGATCTTTTCTTGGACCAACTTCTATTGGGGAGACAGGGGAAAGCTTCCAAGCCACTGGGATCCATCCGGCCTCCCCCAACAGTCACAAAGACTCTGGGTAATTTACATGACAAAGCCGCAGCCACGGTGGCTCACAAATAGCACCCCTCTCTCCTGTCCCTTTGTGCTTTCAGCCAAAGGCTGGAAATAACTCAATCTGGGGTCCAAACTGCCCCCACTCTCCTGAAAGGGAGACTGTGGGGGTGGGCTGTGCATTTCTGTGTGATGCACAGTGGTGCATTCAAGGCATCCATCAACATCTGTGCTGCTAGCTACGGCAGGTAGCCATGCGTGGGCTTACTTAAACCCGCGTATGTGCAATGAGGAGCCGATCGGGGTAAGGGGACTAGACGGGGAGGTGGAGGGGGGGACACATCCTACTTTTCTCCTTAGCACTTTTGATTGCAAACTCAGGGGCAGCAGCAAGTTTTGGTGCATTGGGTTAAACATGTGCCCAGCTGCAATTTTCCCCTCTCTTTTCTCTTCTTGGGATATTCTGCTGGGTTTTGCCAGTCGCAGAGGGGGAGGGGGGAATTTTGCCAACACAGCATTGAATTAGAGAGCCATTTGTCAAGCTATGTCATTTCTTGGCACTCTTTTTTTTAAAGGGAGGGGGGAATAAAAGGAGGAGGGAGGTGGGGGGGAGGGGGCGTGTGCACATCAGGGAGCTTGTTTCAAACTGGCTTCTGCCTTGCCTTCTGCCTGAGCTCCTGGTTGTATATTTGATCTGTGCTCTCTTTTGGAATAACTGCAGTTCACCTCTGCATTGGCCCACTGCAAGACCCAGCCCAGTTCGGGAGGAAAACTTCTCACTCTCCGGCTACCTTCCCAAGATCCGCACCCACCCGCCTCCCCGGAATTTTCACCCTTCCACTCGGCTGCCTTCTCAGGAGAGGTGAGTGAATGACTTTGATGTCGCTGCTTCCTTCTGGGGAAACAGAAAATTGCTGCACTTGGACTCTGATTTCTTCTGGATTCTTTCGAGGCTGGTCCTTTCCTAGCCGGGCTGAGTAGCAGCTACTCTCTGAACATTCCCATTGATGTACTGGGGCTACGGGGCTCCCCAGTGTTAAAAAAGCGCTCGCCGATTGGCCCTGGGGTATCTTTTTCCAAGTGCGACTAGATGTATTGTTCTTTCTCCCTCTTTTTTAATGACTCCTAGTAAGAGGAAAGCAGAGACAGGGAATTAGGAGCCAGCCTATTGCAGAGTTGGCCAGGCAGATCTATTTCCTAGTGCAAACAATTTTTTGGGGGGAGAGGGGGGGATGACATGTGTGTTGCAATCCACGCATGAAAGGACCTGCTGTGACTATCCCACCTGCAGCAGGCACAGAATCAAAGAGGGATGCCCGTCTCTCCAGCTGGGCTATTTCATGTGGGCTGATGGGGATTTGTCCTTGGGTCTGGGATGCTCCAGAGTTTCTCTCTCCCGGCTGAACATTTTCATTTGCAGGCGAGCATGTCTATTAATAGAGCATCTCGTCCTTTCTATTATGTGTGCGACTTCTCCCGCCCTCTTGCTCCTTCACCGCTCCGGCCCTGCATATGAGCGTGGTGGGGGGAGGGAGTTTTAATTATTTTTATTTCCCGATTTTTTAAGTTGCTCAGAAGAGGGAATTTCGCACCGGCCAGCGATCTTGCATGAACGGCCGCGGAGCTTGGACCTTGCTGTTTGCCCTTAGAGGGCAGGTATCGGCAGGGGGGGGGGGGGGGGGGGGCCCATTGGAGCCCTGCCCTGGCCAGACTGTCTATAACGAAGCAGGAACAGCAAGGAGGCCTGTGGCCCCTTTTAGAGAGTAACAGATTTATTAGGGCCTCAGCTGTCGGGGGTTCAATAAAACTCGCTCCCGGGGCTTTTCGCTGAGACTGTCAATGATTTGGGGGGAGGGATGTTCTAAGAGCGGGTAGCTTTCCTAAGAAGGACGGGCTAGTGGTGCCGGCACTGGGCTGGGATTCAGGAGACCTGGTTTTTTGTATGTGACCTTGGGCAATTCACTCCAGCCACCTTGTGCCTCAGTTCCTCCCCTGTAAAATGGGAGACAGGGCTGCTCCCCAGGGGTGCAGGCAGGGTAAACACCCACATGGCTGCAGCAGAGAGGCCAACTGAGCACCGGGTGAGCTTGCTTGGGGGGTTTGACACAGGGGTTCTTTGGTCTGTGCTATGCAGCGGGTCGGTGGGAAGGAATCGAACGGCCTGGAAATCCATAAGATGCCCTTTGCATCCCCTCTGCAGCAGAAGCCTGGTGTGTTTTCTAGAGAGCGGCTTTGCAGGGAACTGAGTTGGGAGAAGGGGGCTGACTTAGCTCCATCCGTTTGCAAAGCAAAACCCAGCAGATTCCTGAGTGGGTCCCACGGAGAAGCACAGAAGAGCAGCCGTATCCAAGCCCATATAGCGCGTCAGTTGCAATGACACCCCCCCAGCTGCTAGCTCATGACTAACCCACCCCAGGCAGGGCAACAATGTTTATGGTCTGTGATTCAGCCGGCCGGAACTACCCTTCAAACACACCCTATGCCCTGTGGAGCTAACAGACCTGACCAGTGTTCCCTGTAAGCTGAGCGTTTGAACGACCACCCAGGAGACATTCAAATGCCACCAGGCTGATTAGCACAGCACCTACCGCTTCCCACAGCACATGTGTTTCTATTGGTGGTGCACATCTACACATGCCTTCATGCACCAAACAAAATTTATTCCACACATGGGTGGAAAAAGTTAGAGGGAACATTGGGCCTGATCCTCAGCCTGTTGAAATCCATGGCAGCTTTGCCAGGGAGCGCTGCAGAATCAAGCTCTCTGCTCCAATAGGACGGTGTTCCTGACGGCACGTCTCCGCTTAAACAGCTTCCCAGTGTAATGCTCATGCTACCTATGTCCATGGAGGGGTTTTCCCCTCAGTGCCAGCAATACTGCCTCTGAGAGGTGACAGCCAGAGCATAAGGAGAATTTTTCCGTAGACCTAGAGTGGTCTACACCAGGGGTTAGCTATGATGATGGACGTCCCAGTACAAACCAGCTCTCTGTTTCCAAACTGGTGAGGGAATTAAGACCTTTAATTACATCTCCTTTTCCCCCCTGTGGTTAATTGTAGGGATGTGAAAGTGTAACCGTGTACACAATTACATGCAGGCTCCCGGTATGTGTGGGGAGTGGCTTAAAAACCAGCTCCCTGTGCGCACCAGGTCCCTGAGAGCCGACTGCTGCCCCCATGTATACAGCAGTTATCTGGTTACGTAATTAAACACATTTTAACATCCCTAGTTAATTGATGTCTATTTGTCTTGCTACAAAAGTTTTTGCTCTTTTTGAAACTGTCTCCCTGTTTTAGGATCAAATCCCTCCTTTTGTTCAGAGCACTTAAAAGCACAGCCATCACATAGGAAGAGATAGGCCCCGTCCTGCAGTGCAGGCAGGCTAAATAGGTGAGGGGAAACTGAGGCACACTGAGACATGACTCCCCCCAGGTTAACGACAGAGCCAGGAGTAGAACCCAACTCCCATCCCAATGATCTGGGGCTACTAACTAAATGCTACCTGGCCTACTGCAAGGAGATTTTGTTAAGATGGAGGAAACTCAGTCCATCCCAGGGAGAAGCCAGTTTGGAACAGAACTTTCCCCCAGTGTGTGGTATCCTGGGATCTAGGCTTTGGGTTTTTGTACTGCGCTGGCCACTGCAACATCTGGGCACCTGCCAGCTGTGGATTAAGCGACAGCCCTCCGTGGAGGTTGGTTTCGTCTCCCCGCACAGGTCCCCTCCCCGCTTTTGGCTCAGACCGACTGCGGAGTTACCACGCTAGGCCTGCAGCCTGCAGTTAGGGGGCTGCCGTGGAACAGGATCAGTCCCTGTCCAGTCTGGTTTTTAATGACCCAAGCACTAGGGGATGCCAGCTCTTCCCTGGAGCATTCAGTGCCTTGTTCCTAATCTGGTCCTTGTTCCTTCCCAGACAGCTGAGGCAGAAAGGAACCCACCCCGTGGGTGTACCCTTCCTGCCACAGTGCTGGGGGCCAACCCCCTCTCTCTAGCCACCTGCCTACGGCCGGGGGTTAGAGACATGATGCGGAGTCAGCACGATGCTAGATCTCTGATCCTGTGCACACACCCCTCTCCCGCCTCTCTACTCCCATGGAAGCTACTTGTGGGAAATACAGGGTCAGTTCCCGATTTCAATTTTTTTTTTAACGTCCATGGCCTGTTTTGGAAGCGCTGCCCCTGAAAGGGCTAAACCATCCCCGCCAGAGAGAGACGTTAAGCAGCAAGCGAAGGGGGAAAGGGGGATTTTCTAGCCAAGATGTGTAAGGAGGTATCCAGGTGCGAAACAGAGGGACACCGGGCTGTGGTGGAGAAGGCTCTTGCACCAGCAGTGTGGAAGGGGAGGTGACAGCTGGGACGAGGTGATGGGACTGAAAGACGCTAGTGAAGGAACTAAGACAAAGGGGCTGCCCGTGAGCTTTGGCCTGGGAAAAGTAGGGTGGTGGGTTCAAATCTTACCACCCACCCTGGAAGCAGCTGAACAGCCAACGCCAGCTGCTGCAGAGCTGGAGCTGGTTATAGCATTCAGAAGGCGGGATACCGGACTTCTTCCTACTCCAGTGCTTTGAAACCAGCCAAGAACACCCAACCAAAAATGGGATCTTGCAGTCAGAGGTTCCCTGAATCTTTATGCCAAGCAGCGGGAAGGGTGGAAAACTGGGCACTGATTTATGGCTGTTCCACATATTTCAGAAGCACTCTGGACGTGTATAAGTGACTCCAGTTTTCTGTCTGCTTCTTAGTGCATTTGTAAAGACGGATAGCCTGGCCTAGAGGAGTAGGAGGCAGGATGCTTAAGTTCCCTTTCCACTGAAGATGGTCTAGTAGTTAGACTGGGGCCGACAGGAAATCCGGATTCCTTGGTTAAATTCCCAGGGAACATATCAAGAGTGGGAGGAACCAAAAGGACTCCTGGGTTTTATTCCCAGTTCTGGGAGGGGAATGCTGTCTAGTGGTTAGAGTGGAATGGCAGTCAGAACTCCAGAGCTCTCTCCTATGCTATGTCTAGATTACGGAGTTTTTCCGGGATACCAGAAGTATCCCGGAAAAACTCTGCCGCGTCCAGGGAACACGTCTGCTCTTCCAACATTTCCTTCTTCGCTTCACAAGGAAGAAGAGCTTTCTGAAAGAGGAGGTTTTTCCAAAAGTTGGCCCACTGTAGACGGGCCAAATTTCGGAAAAGCCTCTTCCGAAAAAACAATCGGAAAAAAAGCAGCAGTCTAGACATAACCCTAGTTTTGCTACTGTGTATTGATGGGCAACTCCCCCCCCCTCCCCGCAGCAGTTTGTGCCTCAGTTTCCCCTTCTGGTGAAATGAGAATTCATACAATGCTTTGAGAGGAATAAAAGCAAACGATAGGAGTATAGTCTAAATGCTCTCCTGAGCTGCCTTGTTGATACCAAGTACCACACACTGCAGCGGGTGGGGGTAGGGGGGAAGAAGGGGGGAAAGGAGTGCAGAGTTGAACTTGCTCATTCCAGAAAGAGACAGGCATAAGAACTTATTAATGTATTTTAAATCACAAACTCGGGTATCAGGCCAAGTTCCAGTCTGGATAACGATGTTCTGCCTGATTAAATGCTGCCAGAGGCTTTAATGGGATGTGGTTTCCTTCTTCACTTCCTCCCTGAAATGGTTCTGTTTGTGCAGTTATATGAGGCCACTGTGCTCCAACCCAGAAGTGGCTGCATTTCAGCACTCTTCTATTTGCATATAGCTCTGCCCAGCACCCAGACACTTGCGAGACACAACAGGGATGAGAGTTATGACTTCAAGCTTCCTGTGTTGTTGCTGGACTAAGGCATTCCCTGCTTTTATCCCAGCATACCCCAAGCCCCTTTCTGCTGAAGACATGTCTGAGA